CCCTCCTCCCCTCCCCTGCACGCTCCGCCCCCTGCTCCTCCCCCGCCCCTGCTCCCGCGAATCAGAGGTTCGCGGGAAGTCTGAAAAGAAGCAGGGGCGGGCAGACAGCACCAGGTAAGCTGGGGTGGTGGGGGGTGTGAGAAGGGCTCCGGGGAGGCGCGGCGCGGCCCAGTCCAACCGCGGCCGAGCACCTCCGGCCCCAGCAGCTCCGGCCCCGTGTCTGGCCCCGCAGCTCGGCTCCGGCCCGGCCCCCGCGGTTCGGCCTGGCTCCGGCCCGGCCCGGCTCGGCTTCGGCCTGGCCCCCCGGCTCGTCTCTGGCCTGGCCCCGGCTGAGCGGCTTGGGCAGGAGGAAAGCTCGGCCAATCAGCACCCAGCTCACTGCATGATAGACAGGAAGCTATTTCCTTGCTACGCCCTGAGCATGGCCTTTCCTAAGGCCGAGCTCAGTGTCTCCCGGACTCGGGCTCCAGCAGCCCCTGTGTCTCCCCAGCTGCCCTCGGCAGCGACTCCAACTGAGATCAGACCCCTCAGAGGCTTGGGCCCCTCCCGGGAGCGACACAGCCGGTGATTAGCCCCTGGCACACGGCATCTGCCAGGCCGTAGGCAGCAGAGAAAAGCCCAGTGTCACCAACAGCCCCATCACTAGGGTAGGCTGGGCACAAACCAACAACACGCGCTGTGATACGGCCAAAGTGCATCGGCCATGCCCCCGGGCTGGGGGGTCTCTCTGGGGATGCAGAGACACTGACAGACTGCAGGGAGCCATGGGGGATAATCAGCTGGATGCAAAAGCGCTGACTTCATGGGTGCTCCGGGGCTGGAACACCCACAGGAAAAAAAATTGTGGGTGCTCAGCACCCACCGGTAGCCCCTTGGATCAGCTCCTCCCCTCCCCCCAGCGCCACCCGCCTGCTGCGGATCAGCTGTTAAGCAGCGTGCAGGAGGTGCTGGGAGGAGGAGGAGGAGCGGGGGAAGGAAGAGGCGGAGGAGGCAGCAGAAAGGGGTGGGAATGAGGCGGGGCGGGAAGAGGCGAAGGGGCTTGGAGGAAGGGGTGGAGTGGGGGCGGGGCCTGGGGTGGAGCGTGGGTTGAACATCCTCCGGGAACTCGGCATCTCTGAGCAGAGGGGTTATTTTCCCTCTGGATTTGGCCCTGGTGCGACCGCTGCTGGAATCCTGGGTCCAATTCTGGTGCCCTCAGTTCAAGAAGGATGGGGATATATTGGAGAGGGGTCAGAGAAGAGCCACAGAAATGATTACAAGGATAGAAAACATGGCCTGGAGTGAGAGACACCAGGAGCTCAAGCTGTTTAGCTTAACAAAGAGACGCTCCAGGGGTGACTTGATCCCAGTCTTGAAGCACCTACACGGGGATCCAATATTTAATAATGGGCTCTTCGGGATAGCAGAGAAAGCTGTAACATGATCCATTGGCTGGAAGTCGAAGCCGGACACATTCAGCCTGGAAAGAAGATGTCCGTGTTTACCAGGGAGGGGAACTGACCATGGGAGCAATGTACCAAGCAGTGCGGTGGACTCTCCGTCGAGGTGGGATGTGTCACTAGGAGATCTGCTCTCGTTCAAACAGGAATTAACTGGGGGCAATTCTCTGGCCTGTTATCCAGGAGCTCAGCCTTGGTTCCTCCTGGTCTGGGAATCTACCAGTCCCCAACAATGCCTTCTTGGAATCCGTCTTCTCGGTCTGGTGCCACCCCGGGGACAGGGACACAAAATGGGCAGGTAAACTGAGTCACTCCGCTTGTTCACAGAAATATTCCCATGTTCTCTCTCTCCTCCCCCCCTTCCAGACTCCTGCAGTCAGGAAGGGGCGCACCGGGGCTAGAGAT